GAGGGGGTGGTGGTTGTCCAAATTGTTGCAGGGACCCTGCTACTTGGGGCCCAGGAAAATGCAACATGGGAGGATGTACCGAAAAACATCTACCTGAACGCGCCTTTGGCAAGCCCCGAGTCGAGCTTGGAATCTCCAGCATCACAGCGATTCAATCAATCTCCCTCAGACTCTCGCTGGAGCTTGCTCTACTTTTGCTCCCCATGGCCGAGTCTCCCACCCACCCGCCCAAAACCGAAAAGACCAGCGGCCAAGAGCACGCAGAAGCCCGGGCCCTTAGACACCGGCGTGGCCTGCCGGGAAGTCGGGAGATCGAATCAAACGGCGCTGCGAACATGTGAAGTCCTGGCGCAAGAACCAGCCACTCAAAGCCCTGAAACAAGGGACTGAAACTCCGCAAATAGCCAATGCCGCACCCGGGGGATTCAACAGTTGGCTCCTGCAAAAAAGAAACGACACCTTCAAAGAGGGCTATTCAGTCAGGCTCAACGAGCCTGAAACACTTGAAAGCCCTTCAGAGGTAAGGTAAGGCTACACTTCCCAGGCAGCGCTAATAATATGTTTGCGTTTTGAAGATTACACTTCTGGTACACCCTCACTTCCTGAGCGGATTTGGCAAAAAGACCCAAAAACAAAAGCAAAAAACCGAAAGCAATCAAGGCAAAGCTTCCAACTCCAGGAACTCTTTGGAAGTCAAAACGAAAGCTCCCTGGTTCCTCCCGGCGCCTGCTGGACGAGGACGCTGCCAGCCGGCAGCTTCCATTCCCTGAAGGCCTGGCGCAGGCACCGCTCCGGAGCACGCCCTTCAGCTGTGGGTCTTTTCGCTTCCCTCTCCTCTTTTCGGGATTCTCGGATTCTCGGATTCTCGCTCTCTCTCTCTCTCTCTGCCGCAGCATCGGTAAGCCGTCACCCGAGGTGGGGCGCCAGCGCCTTCTCGTTTTGGGAACCCAAGTTTGAGTCGCGAAGAGCACCAAACACGTAGACCCGCAAATATGTAGAGAATCAAAGGGCGGCTGCACCTTTTGTGATTGGGATTGTCCCTTACCAAGGTTCATCTACCCGAGTTTTGATTGTGGCTCATTTAGGTTTGTCTCCAATTTGAAAAGGTCTCGAAATGGGTGACCCTCAATCTCCCACGTGGCTGAAAAAGTTGATGACCGCTCCAGGTACTTCATGGACAAATCCTATATGATCCCGAAAAGGCTGATGATCTGACCCCCTGAACCGGCTGTTTTGCCCATGGTGTTTTGATCCATTCGGCCCCCCTGCCAGCCTCAAGCAAGGTGTCATAGCTGGCAGGGCTGAGCAGTAAAAAGATGCGTCGAACCTCAGTCGCTTTGGGATTGGTGCAAGGGGTAGCTTGGCCCTGGCGCTGCGCCGTTCGTTCTTGGCAAGATGGTCGTTCTTGTGCGCTGACGCAATGCCGCTCCAAAAGTCTGGTAAGTGTCTTGCCATAGCGCACATCCTGTTGCCTTTGCACAATCTGGGTGCAAACAAGTTATGGGCAGCTTGGCCTCAACAGGTAGTGTTACCTTTTGAGTAGCTGGCCTTAAGCCCATCTTAGAGGGACTGACATGCGCCAAACTATTTCAAAGACCTTGTGTGATGTGCACTTCTGACACATCATCCCACCCACCCCTCAACAGCTGCCTCAACCGCGACACAAAATGAGAGTTCCAACACCCTATAAGCTTTTCCAGGAATCACTGACATCCTGTCACTCCAATAGCCTCAAAGGGACACATCCTTCATTCAACAGCTTCATCAAGAAAGAAGTGTCCAAACACTCTGCCGGCTTTCTTGGTTTCGACATGGCCATGTCATGGTCCTCCCGTGGAACCCCCTCCTCTTCCCCCCATGTCATCAGCCCTAAGTTCCACCATCATGCTGACTATCCCCTACATTGCCGTCATCTTGAGGCATGTAGGGACCAGCCCAGTTTGGCCAGAGAACTGAAACTGGCACCTTTTCTGCGACGCAAGCGATGTGAGAAACTCATAGGGAATTAAAATACCGGGAGAAGGCTCAACGGCAAACATTACACCAGCACAGACGCCGGATAGCACCTGCACCAGCACCCCCAGCTCTTCAGCCAGGATCCCTTCTCAGGACCCGCTCTTGCCAACCCCCCAAACCTGTTTCCATCCCATTTGCTTGCACAACAAAACATGGCCAACCTGCTTTTGCGACCAAACACCCCCCGCCAACCCCACCAAGCCCCCGCCAGCCTCCTCCCAACCTCCTCCCAATCCCCGCTTCTCCCCCTACTGAACTTCCGGGTTTCCAGGCCGCCGCCTCGATCCAGCGCCGCTCCTCCGTGTCGGGGGGGCGGCTGCCCAGCTCCCCCACCTGGCGCTGGACATCCCACTCACTTCCGATCGAGTAGATGGCCCCCAAAAGAATGGTAAGCAAACTTGTGGTCTAAGCCACTAAAAGGGTGCAACACCCCAAAGTGACTAGAGTCCAGAAACTCAGGGAGTGAGCCAACCACTTGTGAGGTGGTGCCCTCTGAAAAGAGGAGAACATGGAACCTTGCAAGGCGATCTTCTACAAAAGGGCTCCATGGTGGGAGCGAGCCTCCAACCGAAAAACGGGGGGAGGTCATGGCAGAGGAGAGACCTTTGTGGAAACAGCGGGTTCAAGGATCCGATGTGCTTCGAGTGCAGCATAAACCAACACATGGGTCTGTCTGTTCTGGGGACTCCCAAAAAAGGTGGTTGTCTTATTGGTTTCTCTTTCAAGAAGCACCACAAAAAAAGGTACCCTTGCGAAAAGACACACCCACATGGCAGCTGGTGGCTCGCAGTTTCTGTGGCCCCCCCGACATGCCGAGGCCTTTACAAACCCCAAGGGTACATGAGATGACACCCGCCGCATGCCGCGCGTCCGACGCCCACCCGTCCTGTGGCAGCTCCGGAACGGAGAAGGGCAAGCCGCTCCTCACAGCCGCCAGAAGGCGAAAGCGTGCGACTTGGGTTGCACCCACTGAACCAGATACCCTCCCACCAGCTAACATGGGTTTGTGGACAGACCCATGTAGAAAGACTACGTTCCTCTTGGAAAGGGCATTTTTGCACTTCCATGTTAGTTGGTGGGAGGGTGATCGTGGAGGCATACATGGCTGTGGCACAAAAATAAGTACCCAAAATGGGTTGCCCTGGTAAATGGAAACATGGACTAAAACCTGCGGCCCCCTGGTGGTTTGTCCCATTCCCACATGGTTGCGCCGCGGGTAGGCGCGAGTATTCAAGGGTATTAGTGTACGAGAGAGGGGGAGAGCACCTTCGAAAGGAATATTGAATTGTACGGCCCGAGTATTAGGGCAGTATGCAATTTTGATAAGCTGGCTCCATCTTTTGCATCCTTGTCTCTGAATGCGACCCCTGCGAGGAGGGCAATCTAGTTCCCATTTCGCTTTTGGAGCCCGAAACACAGGTTGGGGGTCAAGAAGCCAGCCGTGGCCAGAAAAAAAGAGGGAGATGAAAACTGCTTCCCCATGTTTGAAGAACAACCGCCATCCCTGGCTTAAGCTATTCCCGAGAATAAGACAAGGCTCTTTCACTAACAGGGGCTGGCCGCATGTCAAAAGCGTGGGTTCAAAGGCCTGGTTCACCTTCCGAATTGGTTTGTTCAACATGGGAGGGATCCCCAATCCATAGTGGGACGCCACTACAAGAAGTAAAGCCACAGGCATAAAGATTGCTGTACCGACTGATGTTGAACAACCCAGTAGAATGACATCCGCCGAAGCAAATGTGAGAAACTCATACTTGGCCCGCTTGTGCCATCTGCTACCACATTGCCCAGCATGCACTCTGGTGGACGCGTGGACGGTAAGGGCATCAAGTATCCGGGGGGCCGATGTCCAATTTGCATGACAGGCGGCAATGTGTCAAAGCGAAGGGCTTCAAAATGGCTGGTGTCATGTAGGGCTCCTTTCTTCACAGTGGGCCAACAAACAAAGGCCTTGGAGGAATAGGCCGTCGTGCAAAAACCAACGCACACACACACACACACAAAAATGCCCCTGTTCCCAGGGAGTATGAGTTGTTGGACTCGACCGCTTGTTTGTGCCCCTCCTGGCTGCCCGCAGCCTTGGCAAGGAGCCATCCCGGGGGTCGCGCTAGATTGGGTCACCGCTGCAAACCTACAAAGCCTTGATGAGTCAGGGGCCGTGAGGGACGGCTCCAGAGCCATCCCTGTTTGCCCATTGCCCGATTTGGCCAATGTTCAACCCGCTAGTGTCAACCATGTTCAATCGCCGTTGCCTTTCTGGGGCAAAGAGAAGTATGAGCAAGACCTTGCAAAACATGAACCTGCCTTTCTTTAGTGGACCCCAAAAATCCAAAACAAATCATGGCTTTCCTTGTGGCACTCGACCTCCCCACGTGTTGGGGCAAGCCCAACGCCACGGGCTTTGCTTCAAGGCGCTTGGCCGAGCCCGGCGAGCGCCGCTGCGCCAATTCGAAGGACCTTTCCAGCAAGGCGCGCTCATGTGGGTGTAGGTCAAGAATAGGTGCCCAACATGGACCCCTGGTGGGCGAAACCGTGTTGTTGTGTCGCTCCCTTCGGACGGCACTTCCAAACCGATCCGGACCTCGCTTTCGCGGGAGCAAAACTTCGGGGAATGGGATCCCCCGTCCGAGCGAGGCGTCTGGGGAGAACATGCCAAGAGGTCCACAAACAGCAGAGAGGTTCAAGCACACGAATTGCCCAAGTATTGTTTCAGGTCCCCCGTGGCGGGCGGTCACTGGACAAGCGCAATAAAATGTCCTGCGGGCTAGGGAAGGGGCAAGGGGCGGTGTGATAGGGGTGTGATCCATGACAGTTTGAGGATCGCGCGAAGCGAATCCACTTCGCAAGATTTTTCGGGGACGTCCCACCAAGTGGGTGTGGATTGCAATAGGCTGGTTTCCTCTTTCAGTTCATAGCAACGTGCAATGTACACAAGGTATGAAAATCCCCTGCCGGCCCCTTGAAGACGTCTCAGGTCGCCAGCATCATTCAGCAATCCCCGGCTGCTCTGGCCTCATCTTGCCCACTTGTGGGGCATCATCTTCCAGGTGCTGCGGCTCGACCTGCGCCAAAGGGCTTCGTCAAACCTTCTAGGCGTAGGAATGAGGAAGACTGGAGGCAAGTGGCTTTGGGTCCTTCACTTCTTGAGCCTCTACATGGGCAGGTTTGGGGCTTCAGGCCGAAGCAGGGCAATGAATCCCCTCCCTCCCCTCCCCAGAATCGGCCAGAGAAAAACCCGCACTTGTGCGGCGGCCTGTGGCTGGCCCTCAGAGGCTCCGGCAAGAGATCCTGCGAAGCGCGGGTGCGAGGTGAGCTTCAGCTCCTTTCTTAGCTTTGCCCTGACGAGCTTAAGCAAAAGGGCTTAAGAAAATGATCTGAACAGTTTTTCCACAGCACCAGGGTTTGTCTTGCCATGGCTTACCCGCTGTCGCCAAAGTGACGCCCCCAAAACGGGAGCGTCTTCTCTGTGAAAAAGGTGGACCCTGAGTGGCCACCCCCTCCGCTGCACCTTGCCCCATCTGATAGGGAACCTTCCTGCCCATCTCAAGAGAAGGGGCCCATGAGCCAGCAACTGCCCATGACCAGATGGGACACGTAAAGATGTTCAGGCGGCGAATTGTGTCGGTGGTCAGTCACAACGCCTCAGGATATCTCAAAGAGAGGCCTGATGTCGCATGGAAACAGGGCAACCAACCATTTGCCAAAAGGAAGTTGAGCACCGCGTGAAAACTCAAAGCAGTCAAGGTTGAGGGCAAACCCAATGGCTCGCCGGCCGCGGCTCGAGCCGAAAAGCGGCACAAACTCCGAAATCGGGTCTAGCCCGGGCAAGCCCACCTTTGACATCCCCCGGATCGGGAGTTATATTGTCTTTTGAGCCTTTTCGGGTTCCAAAGGGGAGCCAACCGGAAAGCAACATGAATCTGCTAGGCCCTCTCCTCCCTCGTCACCCTCGGCCACCTGCAGCGCCTTGCGAAACGCCGGAGCTTTTGCTGGGCACGTGGGATCTCAAACAGCCGGATGTGTATAGAGAGCATTCCTGTTTGGAAGCAGAACCGACCCTGAAACTTGCTTCCCTGTGATCAGCCTGGAGGGCAAGTTTGAGTCTTTGACTGGCCCAGTTTTAATGGGCCCAAGGATCAGTGGTCGGGGAGCGGCCGACCAGCCACTTCGACAGCTCCGTAGCAAAGCCAAACCAAGAACAACCTTGTGAGGGGCAATCCAACGATCCAAATCGGACCATTGCGTGATTCGACGGTGATGTTGCGGTGCGGCGCGGTGCGGCGCGACCCGACGTGACGTGACATGACGTGATGTGATGACATGATGTGGCGCGACGTGGTGCTGGGATGTGCTCTGATGTTCTCTGATGTGATGTGATCTGATGAAACGTTGCGTTAATGAAGAAATGGCGCGGTGCCAGTGCCATGCAGTGCAAAGACGCGACACGCGCTTGGACCAATCGTGCCTGGCCCGCGCCCGGATGGTGGCGGCCCAGGTGCGGGCCCATGGCCTTGGGCACGCTCTCCGTGTCTTCCTGAACCCAGCTGCGCGGGCGTTTGTGGGAAGCTGGCAGGTGTCTGGGTGTCTGGGTCAGGGGGAAGGGGCGCCCAAGTAAGTGGCTCTGGAGCCGTCAAGTGGGCAGGAACAAGGGTTTGGTGGAAGCTGGGGACCCTGACTGCCAGTATGGGAACGAAACTGTGCTAAGTGTGAGCATACAAAATCAAACATGCCCTGCATCAATCAGGCACAATAGTTGTCAACAAGTGGCTTGTTTTCCTTTCTCCAGCCCCCCCCCCCCCCAGTATGCAGCCGCGAAGAGACCACAGAGAAGGGGGGCACAACGGACTTTCCAATTCCCATGAACACTTGCGGGCGAGCACATCTTGCGAAAATGCGCCCCAAAACCCAAGAAAGCCAGACCTGAGACCACTGGAGTCCTGAACATCAGTGAACCTTGAACTCCCTTCAAAAAGAAAATCAGGGATACTTGAAAGCTTTCAAGAGGGTCAACTTTCCGCTCTCGGAGCTCTCGGGGGAAAAATCGGATCCGTCAACAGCCCCCAGACGGCCCCCACCACGGTTGACACCCCATGCGTCAAAGGCGCCGCCGGCCCGTCGGCGTCGCCCAGGGGCTCGGGATGCCTCGGAGAAAACTCAGCTTGCTGTTCGTGCTTCTGCTCGACGATCACAAGAAATTCGTCAAATTTCCTGGTTCCTTCTTGTTTCTGTTTTACTTCTTTTCAGTATTTAATATGAATTCAAGACATAGTTTTAATTCCTCGGAGAAATATGGAATATAAACCATGCCCTCAGTGGAACTTAAAGTTCAATCACAATTTAAATTCCATATCTATAGTCTATATTCAACTGTGAGGCTGCAGGCGAATGGTCGAAATCTTCCACATGGAAGCTGAGACTTATGCCAAAGAGTTGGATTCCTGAACTGTCTGTACGTGGCAGACACCCCATGTACAACACACGCACTGTGGATGGTTGTTTTCGAAATCCGCTTGGGCACCAGCGTTCAGAAGGTCAGGGAATGATTCAATTCCCCAACGTAAATACCAACCAACAACTGTGTCAACAATGGTTTCGAAGTGGTGGCGGATTTCGTCCATCCACACGGCGGTATTTTTCCATATGGTTGCTGGTGCCGAAGGCTTGGACAAAATAACTTGGCAGTTTGGAAAGCCAACAGCCACAAGGCCTTGCTTGCTTGACGGACCTCATAAAAATCTGACCGGCAGACCAGGTGGTGAAAGGAGATGTCATTGCCCGAGTGTTGTTCTTCCTCCGGAGTGACGCTTTCAGACAACCACTACACAGCCTTCAGGAACAAAAGAAGGAGCTTCGAGCGAGCCTGGGCTCGACCTGTCAGCTGGCCACGAAGTCCACGCCAATCCCTCGAGGCTAGTTATCACTTAGCTTGAGCCGGCCAGCGTCTTGCTTCAGCTTTTGAGTTGCAACGGAAACCCGACAAATGGGCTCGCTGTGCTTTTTTTCCGCAACTGTAGGAGCATAATCCTCATGCAGATGCATGACTAATCCTTTTGGGGATGCACCCTGTAGTGCAGGCGCTACGTGGTCTGAAGCTGCACGCCCACCCAGGTTCAGGTCCAGTGACCGAACGACTGACTCCCAAAAAATGAGGGACACCTCCCAACAACATGTTCATAAACCCCTTGAACTAAGCTCCCTCAAAAACAAGGCAAACCCACACACACACACAAATACAAAGACACGCATGTGCTGCACCCCACCTACCCACCCCTCTGGACAAGCGAGCCGCCTCTCTGCCCGCAACGTGGCAATGACATCCTCCAGCATGCCCTTCTCGGCGGGCAGCAGGAAGTCTTGGCCTTCAGCTCGGACCCGTTCTCGTTGCATGGGGTGGGGGCGTAGGGTTGGCGGCCTCAAGCAGCCTTTGGAAAAGAACAGGAAAAGTGTTTCAGAGGCACAGAGCGAACCGGGCCACAAGTTACAAGCCTCCACCTCAACTCCAAAGCCCACGGCTTCGGAGTATCAAGTGGGACCCAATACAGCACCCAATATGGGCGCACTTAGTCCATTTTGCAGACCCCCCGAAAAAGAAAAACAAAACAAACACAAAACAAAAAAGCTCGCAAAAATCGACCCCAGCACCCAATAAAGCAAAAACATGTAGCGTGAGTTCACTCGCGTTGCCGCACATCTTGGCAAAGGGGACGGGACCCTTGTCTGGCTGCTTATGAGTTGCCTCTCCAATGCCTGATGGTAAAGTCCCGGCCTGGGCCACCAAACGCTAGTGACTATGGGTTGCAGTGGCAAACCATGCTATGGCTGGGCGGCTCTTTGGGCGACAACTTTTCAGGTCATGCGCAACGGAAAACTATAATGGAAACTCGTTTTGTGGGGCTTCGTTCGGCCCCGGGCCTTCAAGACGATCGCTCTTCTGCAGCGCTGGTTGCACCTCGCCGCCCCATCGCCTGCGTCCCCCACCCCCAACTCCCCTGGGCGTTTAGAATTGGTTCCAAAAGTGCCCAATGCAACTGGAGTTGGGGTCGGTGGCAAAGTTGCTGTTTTAGATTGCTTCTTCTGTATTCTAGCTCTAATCTAATATATGAACATTACGGCCTGAAAAAATATTTCTGCGCTTATTCATAGGGGGAGGGATTGCAAGGGATCAATACATAAGCCCGGATTTGGACACGTGAGTTTCTTGCAAAGCAGGCAAGGGAAAAGGCAGCATTGACCCCGCAATGCACGGAGGGCTGTGGTAGGGGCACCTCGCCGGGCGCGAGGAGGACGCCACGCAGAAAAACCAGGAAACCATCACGCCCTTAGAATTTGAACACTCGAAATGCCAGAGCGGGACACAGGTGAAGATGCCCCCGCAGAACGCGATTGCAATCGAAAACCTGCTGCCCGCTGGGCGAAAAAAGAATGTGCAATAAATCCCACCCCCCCACCCCCACCCCCCCCTGGCACAGCTTGTGATACTTGGACTCCTCCCTCGGCATCTGCCCGCCTGGGAGAGATGTGCTTGACCTGCCGAGAGAAATGCAAAAACGCTTAAGCGCCGGCCAATGACAGCTTGCTCACGGGCAGGCATGTGCGTGGGTTCGTTCATGTTTCTGAGGGCATGACGGCATGCATGCGCTACAGCACGTCTGCACACTCGCGGGCATTGTATGTACGGATGCGGCATGCACGATGGCGCGCGAACAACTGGTACGTGTTGTTTGGTGTACCCTGACAAAAGCTGCTGCTTAAGAGCCGCTGGTGGCAGTTTCCTTTGTGGCAACATCCTTCGAACACAAAGTAGCAAAACACGGCATGCCCTACAATGTGCAACCGCTTAGGCCTCAGGACGTAGGTGTCCTTCTTGGTAAAATAGACGGCCCCGGTAGTTTGAACCACCAGGTAAACCAGGAATCGCCCTCGATGCTTCAACCAAACCAAAAAGGACACCTATGCTTCAGGCTGCATCACGCTTTCCTCCGAGTCCTGGTGGGCGCATTTGGACCCTCGCCTCTGCGGGAGGGGCGCCCTCCAGCGGCAGGTCCAGCGGCAGGCCGGGGGCCACCCTGCGTGCGGCCGGGGGGGAGAGGGATTGCGCTTGCTGTGGCTGACTTTCGTCGGGGGAGTGGTTGGGTGGGTTACTTGCTGGGGTACCCTGGTCGGAGAGCGCCGTTCCATTTCCACAATGAAAGGGTTCAGGCGTCTATGTTGCCCTCACCCCTCTGGCGAGACAAGGTGGTTGCTTCAGTTATACCGAGTGCATGCTCGAGTGCGAAACAATGTTCTGTGTGGTGGGAATGGCTGAGCTCTACCAGTTCACAGGCATATGCTGCCATATGCTGCCATCAGGCCAGTACCAAAACACACGAGATCAGCCCGTTGGCATCTCCCATGACCGGCCTCCGCGACGGCAGGCGCTGCACAAACTGGCCGTGGCCCTTCTCCTCCTAAAGGAACAGGTGTCTTTTTCAGGGCCCCCCCCCCCAAACAAACAAAAAACAAAAAAATGGAGGTGTTCCTTTTGGGTGTCCCTTTAAACCAACCCCGACAAGGATACCCAATGGTCCCGGCCAGGTGATGCAGCACCTTCCCCCCAGGATCTGAATTGCTTTGGAGGGCGTGCTTTCCCAGCTTCAACGGGAAACAGCGATTCAAGTCCCCACGCACAGGACAGCAGAAAGGTCAAGAGATCAATTTGAGCTTGGACATCGACATTTGACTACGCACATGCTGAAAGAATTTTGACAAGCTTCCGGGTGTCTCTGTGCAATCGTTATGGGCTGAAGGTTCTAACTGTCCACGTGGCGCCTGTGTTGATGTCCATGGTGGGAACTACCGCGCCACAAGGGGATTCCGCGTCTATCATGCAGCCGCAGACGCAAAACAAAGAAAACAAGCTTCCGGTGGCGCAGCGACCCTGAAAAAAGGCGAGTGAGACGTTGCAGACGTTGCAATGCCGCAGATTGACATGGAACCTAACGAGTGAACAATTTCTAGAGGAGCCGTCTTTATAATCTACGCTGCAGAGGGGATCTCACTTCCTGCATGAATGGGCCAAAAACAGTCTCATTATTTACCACTAGAATGGTCTCAGGAAGTGAGGTATTCAAAGCTTCTCTGGGGGCAAATCCCAAAGAGCCAACTCCTCCTCACAGGGCAGCCCAAAAGCATCTCCCATGGCGCCGGAGCGGCGCGAGGGAATGCTCTCACAGATCTGATGGCTCCTTGGGAACATCTCCTAGCGGCACGAGGAAACTAAGTCCTGTGTGCTGCATCATGTTACTGGAGTGTGAAATGCACCACTCTCTCTCTCTCTCTCGCTCTCGTCTATCTCCCAGGTTCCAAATGCACGGATAGTGGAACTTGATTTGAGACATACCTCCTGAAGTACGTGTGGAGGGAGGGGCAGGGGGCCCACGTTGGCTGCCTGCAACCTGGCAAACTCCTTCAAACCTGCTACTGGAACATCACCCCTTTCTGCAAACAAAATGCGAAATATAAAAAGCAGCAAAGTGCAAGAACTTCTTTGTTCAATGTTTAACAAAACAAAATCCAAACAATCACAAACGGCCCACTCAAAGAGGCCGGACAGGCCACAGGACCGCTATGGCTGAAGAGCCAGGAGCCGACAGCGCAACGTGTGGCATTGGTGGGAATACCCCCTGCCCGATTCATCTGGAAAGACACCTTTGCACTCTTCAGGAACATGGCCATATTGGTGCGCTCGCTCTCTCTCTCTCTCTCTCTCTCCCTTTTTCTCATGCAGCTATGCTAAGTAAGCAAAGCAACTACATACACTCTGACTCTGGATCATAATGATCACACCGTCAAGATCAATCACCACCCCACCCCTTGCCCTTGAAACACCCCGACTCGACCTGCACCCCAGACAGCTCTCTCTGCAATCTTTCAGTGATAGTGTACTTTTGTTCAGATCCTTGAAGGAAACTGTCCTTGGTTTAGAGGGGTTTCAACCACCAAAAGGCTGTCGCTCATATAGTGCCCTCTGCACATATTTTATCGCAGCTGCGGGGCCCATCAAAAGAACCAAGGCTTCCCTCTTAGGCCGCGGCTCCGCCTCCCGACCTCAACTCCGCACTCGCCAGCTCTCTTTTCTTCTGTGCTTGCTGCCTCCTATATGAACCAAACACAAATAGCCTCATGTTCACCAGCCATGTCTTGCACTCACGCTTGCCCAAAAGTACTTAAGTACTTTGTATTGGCCACTTCGGGCGTGGGCCCCAGAAAGGAACCACTTGGGGCCCTCCCTGCCAAGCCCCCCGGCGCTTGAGACTCTCTCGCTGGGCGTTACGCTCCCGTAGGGCTTGGAAGGAGTCCTGGCCGCGACAGGCGCCGCAGAGTGGAAGCTAGCGGTGAAAGCCATGGGAGCTGAACCTGGAAACACATACGACTTACCTGTAAAAGTGTAAGCTTAATCGATAAGAACACATCAGAGCCGAATTTTGTAAAAATGAGAATGGGCTCAGGGAAGCGAAGTTGGTAGCATGAAAACAGGTTCAGGGAACGTTTCGGCAGTCGACACTTCTCACTCTAGTACGGGTCCCTAGGATCAATCGGAAGCTGGCATTACGCAGCATGCATCGGATGGAGATGTGTATAGCTGCATGTATAGAAACTGGCATATATACACACAAAACATCCATCCATACATACGCAACATGACATAACATAACATTACACTACACTACACTACATTACACTACACTACACTACATTACAGTACATTACAGTACATTACATTACATTTGCGTTACATTACATATATACATTACATTACATTACATTACATTACGTTACGTTACATTACATTACATTACATACATTACATACATTACATACATACCTACGTACCTACATACAAAAATGCATACAATTACATCACATTACATTTACATTACATTACATTTCATTTAATTACATTTAATTACATTACAGTAAATTACATTACATTACCTTGCATTGCATGACATTACATCACATTACATTACATGTACAACCTGCACATTACATTGCTGATGAAAATCTATGGGCAGCAAACCCTTTTGACTGATGGCTGGAGCCAAACACCCATTCGATGCCTGGCATGTCTCTGCACATGGCAAACGTGATTTCTGACCACCCCTCCTTCCGCTACAGGACTAGCTCTACTAGACCTTGGCGGATTTGAGGGCCTTAGCTCCTCTGGCTTTGGCCAGTTTCAAAAACTTGTTTCATCACGCTCATGCGCCGCTCATAGACTTCGCGAGTCATCGGCTTCGTGAGCAAATCTGCAAGATTCTTGCGAGCGTCAACAGCTTCAAGCTTTATGTCTCCACACGCTACTCGCTCTTGCAACCAAAGGAACCTTGTCTTTACATGCCTGTGCTTTCCTAGACCTCTCCTAGATGCCGTGCCACGTGCTGCAGAACTGTCCGACAAAACAGTGATGGAAACGTCGATTCCCCAATCTGCTAACAACGCCTTCAATGAAGACCCTAACGCCGCTCCTTTGAGTACCGCTGTCACAGTAGATCTTGATCTCCTTACACATTGTTGGGCTGTGAAATGTGTGACAACGTGTGGCTTTCCAGCAATGTAGCACACCAACCTCTTCAGGTCCTTCATGCGCGCGCGTCTGTTGGGCTTTGCATCCACCGTGTCAAGGACTTGACACTCTCTGACTCTGTGCCCGCATAACCAAGCTTAATGGTGGAAGTCCGCTTGCGCTGAGAACGTCTGCAAGGCGTTTCTTCTCACTGGGCGCGGACAAGGTGTTGCTCTTGTCCAGGCTCATCTGCCTTACCGACAACTCAGCGTGCCTCGGGTCTGACATCTCCTGTCAACTGATCGTGTGTGACGATGCGGTTCAGGATGGTGAGTCTGCTTCCCTCACCAGGTCCAATGATGCCGTCACATCGAGATTAGCATCGCTCGCCCAACGTCTTCTGGATGCGCGATTGCGCTTCAGAATCGCCAAGGACAAGTCGTCCAAATGAACCAACATCTGGCAAGCTGTTTCATCGTTCCTGAAAAGACTGGTCCAGGCTCTGCCACTAATGTAACCTCGCGTCTGCAAATGGTCAGTGTAGTCCATCGCGCTGTACATTGTCTTCATTAACAATGCACACATTCCTTCTTCCTTGTCTCCTTCAGGAAGTGGTGCGCACACTGTCCTTTGCGCCCTTCCATAGAAGTGCACCCGACTGATGTCGCACAATGCAAGTTTCAAGGGTCTCCCGAATCTGCTGACCTTCTTGCTTTCTTGAAGGGAACACAAAAGCTTGCCGGCTTCCAAGGCTGGCATGTCCAATACCACTCCGGTCTTGGCATCGTAGTAGATTGCGCCACTTCTGCTCTCAACATTGCTCCGACAAAATGCCTCCTGGTTCTCTTCGCTTGGGAAGAACTCCTTGTCAGGAATTGTTCCTCCTCCAAGACTATATACTGCAGCATTGAGAACTCCATCTGCCTCTGGTTGCTTTCTGGGTCCTTTCAAAACTGCTTTGACGAGTAACCTTGGCGTGTGTGGCACGCCCATGCACAAGCATCACATGCCTGCGCCATGGCTTTCCACTTCCATCCTTGTTACTGCAGCTCAGGGCTGTTGGTCATCCAGCCGGTTGGCTTGACCAATCCCTTGCCTGAGCTGTCTTCCAAAGTCATGTGCCGGTGACACGTTGCCCTTTTGACAACTTGAACACCCGGCAATGCTTGTACTCTCTTTACACACTTCTCATGCCAGCTAGTGGCACCCCATGGGTGCTCGCGAAGGAAGCACCTCTTCCGGCAAACCGCCGGTCTGTCTGCAGCTTCTTCCGGTCATCTCCTTTCTCTGGTTCTGAAGGGCACTATACTGATCACAGCAAGGCGAGCCTACCAACAGCATTGGATCGTCAAGCTTCTGTTTTCTTTGTCAAGTCCAGCCAGTTTCCAAGTCCACCGCGAAACCCGGCTTGAGACCAAAGCTGTCCGCCATTGTGGTGAAACGGGGCGGACTGAAAATCTCCGCATCCTGCTCTGAACACTTCATTCTCTGCTGTAGGAACACTTGTGAAACTGTGTCTGCAGCCGCCGCCCCGCCGCTCGCGGATGACTGTTGCTGCGCGTGTGGCTGAACCGCTGGGCTCCAAAACGCCTCATAACTGAGACGCACCTGGATCTGCGGAACCTGAAGGTCCTCCTGTCTGCGCGTTGGGTGGCAAGGTGGTACAGGTGTTGGAATGCTGATCGATCACATCAGCAATTTCTGTGTCTCCGTAGAGTTCATCTAGTGTTTCAGTCGGCGACCTCTTTTCTCCTTTCTTAGGACTGGCCTTTAGGGTCTTGGGCTCTTCAAGCCCAGGCTCAGCTTTCCGCTTTTCAGGCGCCCCAAGAGCAACGGGCGCCTGAACGTCTACTTCGCTTCGGTTTCCCTACGCTTGGCGTCGTCTATTCTCTTTCGTCCTTCCTCGCTCTTCATTAGCTTTTCTTAGATTCTGGTCCTGCAAGCGTCATTGTGCGTCACTGCAGGCAATCCCACCGTGATGGCAACCACGTCTTCCGAGCCATCTTTCTTCAAGCTCTTTCTCCTAACACACAGGTTTCTCGGCCCGCCGTCGCGGCCGACTGGCGTCAACCTGCCTGGTGCTTCGGGCAGCACCAACTTTATCTTACTGTCTACTGTCTACTGTCTCCTCTGCATTTTTGCGCAGCCTCACAGTTTCCAAGGAACTCCAACAAGCTTGTCGAGCCCCTCCTTACACCAACGCTCTTGCGGTGGCATACGGCGCACTGTGTTTCCCTTCAGTACACCTTCTTCCTCGGTCATGCACAGGACGTCACAGTTACGTCCACGAGTGCCAACGTAGCGACGTAGGCCTGAAGTGGCCTAAACCAGACTCGCTCCCAAATTGGACCATTGGCCTCTGCCACCTTCCCATGGAAAAGCGACCCAAACAAAATGCAGCGTGCCGTGACATCCAATTCTTCCCAGACTTTCGTCGAGCTCACTTGTCTTGTCTGTTCCCTCACAGCTACCTCGACTCTGCTGTTCGCTGCGTGGTCCCCCAAAGCGTTATTTCTACGCCAACTGCTTGTTCCTTCACCTTCTGCTTTCGAGCTACTATCGCTCTCCTCTCTCATCGTCGGGTTTAAGGAGGGCCCAACGATACCCCGCATCATTCAAACAGCCCATGACAA